TGGGTTAGCAGTCCCCCAGAGTTGTGAGCAATCTGGGGATCCTTCTGGATTCACGACTCCTGCTCAAAAAGCAGGTGGCAGCCTTTGTATAGGTTTATCTTGCGCACCCAGCATTTTATATCTTTTACTGAATTACTCTGGGAAAGTTTTTTTTTACAAGATACTGTTTATGATTTTAATAGAACCGTATGTTTTTATTTCTTTCCTTATTGTTTTTCACTGTAATTACCCAAAGTCAAAAGGATGCTTTGATTGACTGATGGATCATTGATGTACCATCAAGTATACAACCTTGTCTCACTTCTTTGCCAACCTGGAGCCAGTTTCTCTCAATCTCTCTCCCCCTTTTTTTTTTAATTTTTTTTTAGCCTGCCCCTTTCTTATTTTTATAAATAACTTAAGGCAGTGAACATACCTAATACTCTTCCCTCCTCCTGTTTTCTCCATAAAGCAGCCCTGTGAGGTGAGTTGGGCTGAGTGTGCGTGCCCCAAATCACCCAGCCGGCTTTCATGTCTAAGGAGGGACTAGAACTCAGTCTCCTGCTTTCCAGCCTGGTGCCTTCACCACCAGACCAATCTGGCTCTTTCTTCATGTTACTCTTTCTCCATGTTTCATCTGGACTGTGGCTTCTTGATGTGTCTATAAGTTTTGCATGAGGATAATAAGATGTTCTGGGATTCCCATTCTTCTAAGCATATTCTACAGCCTGACATGATCAACATAATCAAAAGCCTTTCTATAATCTATGAAGCACATACTGACTTCTTCTTTGTGTTCTTTGGCTTTCTCAGTCATCCAGCATGCATCAGCAATAATGTATCCTGTTCCTCAGCCTTTTCTGTAGCCAGTTTGAACATCTGGCACCTCCCTTTCCAAGTGGGATTCTAATCTGAGTTGCACGATCTTAAACATGATTTTGCTTGTATGTGAAATTAAGGCTATTGCATAGCAGCTTACACATTCTAAAGGGAAATGTTATGCTGGTTTAGGTTACCAATAGAGGTTATCATCTTTTTTAAAAAACAAATCAGTAATTTATTTCCAAATATTAGACACTGAAAGATTGTACTTTTAGAGGAATACAAGAGATGCTTTTCTTAAAAAAAAAACAAAAAAAAACAACTTTCACTTTGGATTAATTTGTACAAAAAAAAACCAATTCCCCAAATACCAATAGAAGAGAATATCTGTGGCTCAGGGTTGAACTGTGGAGTCCCTGGGGTTCTCTGAGCTTGGCTGTTTTCTTGCAGACATTTTGTTACCC